CAGGGGGGGACATGGTCCCCTCACTCGCCCCTTGCTGGCGGCCATGAAGAGACAGAACGTGCGGACCCTGTCCCTCATCATCTGCACGTTCACCTACCTGCTGGTCGGGGCCGCCGTCTTTGATGCCCTGGAGTCCGACAACGAGATGCGGGAGGAGGAGAAACTCAAAGCCGAGGAGATTCGGCTCAAAGGAAAGTACAACATCACCAGCGAGGACTACCGGCAGCTGGAGTTGGTGATCATGCAGTCCGAGCCGCACCGGGCCGGCGTCCAGTGGAAATTCGCCGGTTCCTTCTACTTTGCCATCACGGTCATCACGACCATCGGTGAGTGTCTCACCTCGGGGAGGCCCTCTGGGGCCAGGGCCAGGGCTGAAGCCCCCCTGGGTGGGAGAAAGGGAGAGGGTCAGGGGGGCCATGGCATGCAAAGGGTTAAGTGCCGGATGAGTTTTTTGGCTTCCCTCCCGTGTTATGCAATTCACTGCTCTTCACGGGCACTTGTTGGACTTGGCAGTGTCCCACACCTCTTCCCCTGGAGATGGAGCCTGCGTCCCCTGGGTGGGACTGGGGAGGAGTGGGGCTGGCCTGGTGGGGGCATTGGCGCTGGCCAAGTGGCTACCATCGAGCTGTGGCTTGGGTGGCAAGGAGGAAGGGGGAAGAGGCAGGGTGACACTCTCCCGGGGTTCCCCTCAGGAAGAAGGAGGCCCTGTTGCCACTCTCCTCCTTGCACCCTTGCTTAGGAGACACGGGGAAAACTTAGGCAAAAGGCAGCTGGATGAGGATGAAAACGATGAGGGCATGGGAACTGGATCAGCTGGGAAAGCCCTTGATATAGCCAAGCGTAGCCCTGCTTTTGCAAACTTCGCTTTGGTGTTGGCAAGGGCTCTGGTGGGGGTTCCCACAGCTGTGGTCCCATCACTGGGCCTTTCCTGGGCATTCCCAACGTGTCCCTGAAGTTTTTATTGCAGCTGGCGTGCCAACAGGTCACAGTCCGTGTCTCCTCTTTGTGGGCACGCGGTCCGACAGGCAAAACGATGCCTGCTGTCACATCCGTGCTGCCCAGCTTCCCAGACGTGCCATTTCCCAGGATGGTCAAGGGACAGTCAGTGGCCACAGCCACAGGCTGTCATTTTGTACTTCTCTGCTTCCCTCAGCTAAAGCGGAGTGTTTCGCGTAAAGTTTGCTTCCCTGCCGTAAAAATAAATACCACGATAACTAGAGGCTGCAGAGAGCACACAGAACTGGGCTACAACTCTGGCTTTGGTTTGATGAGCACGTTTGTTCGTCCTGGTTTGTATTTGGTGGGGTGGATTTACCGAGGCCGTTGATAACGTTCCTCTCCCAGCACTTCTAGATGTTCCCCCCTAACATCTGGGGAGATCTGAAAAGACCTCTCTGGCTCAGTGGCTGTTTGATAGTGCACTGTAATGAACAGGACACGAAAGACTAGCTCTCTTATTAATACAGAAGGACTCAATCTTTTTACCATTTAGGGTGTGTTACAAGAAATTTGCACGCTGCCACCTGAAGATACTGACAGTTTCCAGCAGAACGTGCTGTCCGCTGCCCTTTGAGCAGTGTTTACTTACGTTTATTTTTGACTGTGTTATACCTGGGGCGGTAAAAAATTTCCTTTGAAAGACCATCTGACGGTATAAAGCCTATTTGTCTTTACAAAGATGAGATTTTTAAGGGATGATTTCCTCTTCTCTTATTAGATACATTTATATAAAATACATATATTAATAGGCTACAGAATATAGAGTGTAACTTTGGCTGATGACTTAGATTTCCTGCTGTTCATTACGATATCAGAACTCTCCTTTCTCCTTTGGTCACTGATTCTTCGCTCCTTGATCTGTCTCTTGTCATTTATTTGTGCTAAGTGACTACTGGACTGTTGTGCTCCTCTGGGTTACAACAAGGCTTCCACGCAGATGCCTGTGTACTCACGGTGCCCTACACTCCTGCCTCAGAGGTGGCTGCAATACTTTCTGTGTTGTTAAGCTTGGTTGGTGACAAGTAGAAAGAGCTGGTTTTACAGTAGTTTGCTGTTTTGATCGTATTTTACCCAGAAACAAGTACAAGTTGCTTGGGAAGCTTTAACATTTTCTCATGCAAAGAGCTGGGATTTGTTTAGGAAGCTCGGAGCACCTCAGCGTGCAGAGGATAGCGTGCATTTCTGGAGGCAGAGGTGCTTTGGGATGTCAGAATTGTTTAAATTTAAAATGTGTATAGCAATTGGGAACCACTGGGAGGAAGAGTGATAATAAAGAATGGTGCAGAAGAACAGACGTTCTTTAATGATTGTTCATTTGGGAAACTGTGCTCCACGAGGATATGTGATCCGTCTTTCAAAAGTTTATTAATAGTTGCTATCTGCATCTTGGCAAACGCACTTGTATTTTGTGTGTCATCTCTTCAGTACTTAAGTAGCTTCGTGATGTTATCTGATCTACTGGTAGTCTGTAAAAGTGAACGTGGAAGGTTTTTCTTTAATGTCTTATTTATCCTCAAAGAATTTGGTTCAAAGGGGGACAAAATGACTTTCTGTATTTAAGTTCTCGAGAAAATAAGAGAAGATTTATTTTCTGTGGTTCTTGCACAGGGCAGTGATCTTAAATGTTTGTATTAATCTTTTGTGATGGTTCTTTTTAATCTGACTCTGTGCACCCTGTAACATACATTTCCTTCTTGCTCTGAAACCTTCCAGACAGACTTCAAGAAGCACATGCAGTGGTGTATGCGTTAGTGAACGTGCTGTAGCCAGTAGCTGCTCTTGCAAAAGTGCATCTGACTAACCGTCGCAGGCTGATTTTTAAGAATGAATAAAAACCTTTGCTGCCTAATCTAAAGTGGTACATCTACTACACAAACTTCTCTTCAGAGAAGCGCAATAGGCATCAGCGGACCACAAAGTCTAGCAATATGCATGTGATAGCTGACTGATGTATGGCGAACTTAATTGTTCTCCTCGATACTGCCGTGCTAGCAACATGTCTGCAGCGATTACCTCTTCACCGCGTTGATTTAAACTACTGTGGCTTTAATTTAATCCCGGGCGTTTATCGCTGGCCACGGACCACGAGCCAGCAGCCATCGGTAGC